TTTTGTAATTCATGAAAACTAACAGTTGCGGGCATGATCAGGCCAAAGTACTTCAATTTTAAAAAATTGAAAGAAATCTTTATTTTTATTCGTCTTTTTTAACTTTCATACCATGCTATACTTGTCAGTCACCCCTCCCCCCAGTGGCCCAGCTGTATGTCTGCGGACTTACAATACTAGAAACCGGGTTTCGATACCCGTGGTGCGCAGCGCACAGATAGCCCATTGAGTAGCTTTGTGCTTAATTATAAACAAACAATACTTATCAATCAAGTTTTTAGTATAAACTATAAAATGACAGCAAAACTATTGGTCTAACTTTGATCTGATGGCATTTTATTGGTTTGATTTTATAGATAATTCATGCATTGTACAGAAGTCTGTAAGTTACGAAACACACCCTTCTGACCCACTAAACAATATCATAGTAGTTTATTTATGAATAGTTTAATTTACGGCTAACTTAAAATATTCAAACAGAATCAAATAGCTTAATCAAATTTTTATCTTACTTTTCTTTCTCACTTAACTTTTTGTGACATGATTTTTCGATATTGGGCGCACGTTTTTTTTGCGCCCAGAAGCAATAAACGCTCCCAAATTTAGCCTGTATTGCCCCCCTATTAATATATGATAATTTCAAACGTACAGTTTTTTTATTATCCTCTTGCATCTAAAAAGCTACACAAAGGGCACTGTGTCTACCGCGGGGAATCGAACTTCGGATTTTTTCGTTCTAAGTCCTTAAATCTACCGCTGCCCTACCCGGGGGTGGTGGTGGTGGCTACATTACAAAACACACATATAGAGTTCCATTGTTGTGGAGAGTGTTAATTGCTGATTTTAGTTCTGTTTTGTATCGAGATTCGAGTTACGTTAATTACAGCTGACCTGTACAGAGATTGTTAAGTAAGTACCTTCACTTACAGTAACTTCTAAACCCAACAGAACCACTTTCAGGCTCTAAACAGGAAAGTGAAATGAAATAAGTCACGATTCCAAGTACGTCTACCTGAAGTTTTATTTTCTATACTTAACTTATTCGGCTTGTTAATTAAGCTAATTGACTTTCTATACTTAACTTATTCGTTTTGTTAATTAAACTAATTGACTTTCTATACTTAACTTATTCGTTTTGTTAATTAAGCTAATTGACTTTCTATACTTAACTTATTCGGCTTGTTAAGTAAGCTAATTGACTTTCTATACTTAACTTATTCGGCTTGTTAATTAAGCTAATTGACTTTCTATACTTAACTTATTCGTTTTGTTACTTAAGCTAATTGAATTTCTATACTTAACTTATTCGGCTTGTTAATTAAGCTAATTGACTTTCTATACTTAACTTATTCGGCTTGTTAATTAAGCTAATTGACTTTCTATACTTAACTTATTCGACTTGTTAATTAAGCTAATTGAATTTCTATGCTTAACTTATTCGGCTTGTTAATTAAGCTAATTGACTTTCTATACTTAACTTATTCGGCTTGTTAATTAAGCTAATTGACTTTTTGACGGACGTTCCCTCTCTTGACTTCTGAACGGGACTTTCAAATTCACAAATAAATATAGTATCTCTGTCTTTTTCCAGAAGTTATATATAATTCTCATTGATTGTGGTTCCACTCATAAGCGTACATGGCAATTAACTTAGTCCCATTTTCTAGCTTTCTATCACGTGCATGACTGGCTGATACAACACCATAGGGTGCTATCATTCGATCACTACATGACTAGCTGATACAACACCATAGGGTGCTATCATTCGATCACTACATGACTAGCTGATACAACAACATAGGGTGCTATCATTCGATCACTACATGACTAGCTAAAACAACACCATATAGCATGCTATCATTCGATCACTACACGACTAGCTAATACAACACCATAGGGTGCTATCATTCGATCACTACATGCCTAACTGATACAACACCATAGAGTGCTATCATTCGATCACTACATGACTAGCTGATACAACACCATAGGGTGCTATCATTCGATCACTACATGAACTAGCTGATACAACACCATAGGGTGCTATCATTCGATCACTACATGACTAGCTGATACAACACCATAGAGTGCTATCATTCGATCACTATATGACTAGCTGATACAACACCATAGGGTGCTATCATTCGATCACTACACGACTAGCTGATACAACACCATAGGGTGCTATCATTCGATCACTACATGACTGACTGGTACAACACCATAGGGTGCTATCATTCGATCACTACATGACTAGCTGATACAACACCATAGGGTGCTATCATTCGATCACTACACGACTAGCTGATACAACACCATAGGGTGCTATCATTCGATCACTACATGACTGACTGGTACAACACCATAGGGTGCTATCATTCGATCACTACACGACTAGCTGATACAACACCATAGGGTGCTATCATTCGATCACTACATGACTGACTGGTACAACACCATAGGGTGCTATCATTC